TTAGGATTTAGGGTTCAGGGTTTGGTGGGGTGTTGAGTTTAGGCTTCGGGGTTTCAGGGCTCTTAAGCTGTATGGCCTAAGACATCGGGTCAGTGCCTGGCCGTTTATGCCTTTGAGACGGAATGGTGGTGGGAGGGTCGAGGCCTGGGTGCATATCTCATTATTGATCCCTCCATCGACATTTCGTACGAAGGAACAAAAGCCGCACATGGACACACAGGCACGTCAACACATGCATGCATGCATGCATGCATGCATGCATGCATGCATGCATGCATGCATGCATGCATGCACGCCGGCATGCATGCATGCATGCATGCATGCCAGCTAGCTGACCTACAAACGTACATCCAGAAACATGCACATCACACTCAGTCTCGATCCCGACATAATGGAAATGTTCCATATCAAAACACATCTGACGGCGAGTGTACTTGTCTATGAATCTGTATACGCATGTGCTTATCCGGAACTGGTTGATGTCTGCGCGAGCACATTTTACATACACATGGTGACATTGTGCACTTACACTTTTGCACTCATGCATGTGTCTGTGGACGTTCCCTCCGCAGGTTGCCAGAACCTAGAAACTCGAAGACGAGGGGCCGGCGACGGCCGTTAAGAGGACCGCGGGTCATTGCTTCGGTGATGTGTCCGCCTTCGAGCCAGCACAAACGAAACGGGCCGGCAGCTAGAGTACGGCATGTAAAGCTGTAAGTTTAGCACGTTAGCAGAGAAGGAAGCAGTACTCTGAGTCTCAAGCTGGTGCTCGGCGATGTATGAAATCTGCTCATTGCTGCACACTGTCGCGATTGTGCAGTCCGGCAGCCTTTTTTTGCCTCCTGCCTGCATCATCAAGTCGACAGTGATCCGGAACCCTGGGCTTGAATAGTAGACTCTTAGGGAGTCTTAGGGACCCTAGTCCTGCCCCTGCAGGATTCAGACGTTCCAACACGAGACCTACACCCCAGGGCCCGGTCCGACGACAGATGTGTCAGGAGCTCTCCGCAGGTCGCGTGGACGGTCAGTTTTATGACAACCACAGCAACCAACAGCAGCCTTGGCTTCTTAGCCTGCGCTGCTGTTCCTGAAGCTTGCATTCACCTGCTGCAGGGACCCCGGACTCCATAGTTAATACGACGGAACATGAACAGTTCGAGCACTGTGTGAACACCTATTATCTCCATCGTCCTCCTCCTTCTCCTCTTTGTCATATTCACGTGGTCATGACATCATCATCATCATCAGCATCATTCTCACCAGTAGTTCCCCGCTCCTCATGGTGGGATTGTCCAACCTGCACCTCCGCGGCCCCTACTCATCCTACTACTACTACTACTACTACTACTACTACTACTGCTACTGCTACTGCTACTGCTACGACGACGACGACAACGACGACGACGACGACTACGACTACGACTACGACTACGACTACGACTACGACTACGACTACGACTACGACTACGACTACGAGTACCACTACGACTACGACTACGACTACGACTACGACTACGACTAC